TTTGAATTGAAATACATTTCACATGGATTCAAAAAGTTTTATCAAACCGGAGGGGGGGGGGGTATTGTGCATAACTGAACAATAGCAAAAGTATATTGCAATCTCTGGAAAAAAAAAACTTTACACATTTTACATGTTTTGTTTAATATCCATTATAAGGTTCCGAGGTATAAAAAGCATTACTGAAAGTGAACCTGAAATATGGGTATATAAAATAGGTGCAGTACTGTATGGTCCTTGAAATAATGATTTTTTTTTGTTAAGAGAATTTTAAAAGCAGTTATCTCGATACAGTACTGCACATCAAAATAGGTGTGCATATAGTAACATTATATGCAATCTGCAAAAAAACTCAAACATAACACATTACAGCATAGACCATTTTCACCGAAAAGCTGGCAACCATTTTTAGGGTACATCAAGTGCAGATCGTAAAATAAAATCATAAATTGGTTCTGTTGTTTACAATTAATGGCATAGCAAACGCTGATTTTTTTCAGCGGTCAAAAGTTAATTTATGAAAATGGGTGGTTTTAAAAATTAACGATTTCATAATAATAATAAATAATAATTCTGGATTTATATAGCGCCTCACGTTGACACAACCTCGAGGCACTTAACAACAACAGAGAAGAAGAAAGATTAATTAAGTCCAAATGATTGGTTTGATGATTATCAATAAATGTTATTATTACAATTAATTAATTAATTCATGAATTAAGTTTTTTTTTTTACTTTAGCAACCAATGTAAACCAAAACTCAGATGTTGAGGGCGATGTTTCTAATTCAGTTGTCGAAAATAGTGTACTGTATATACAGCAATACTCTGCTATGTTAATTGGCTGTTTGAAAAAAGAATTTAAATAAATAGAAAAGTATTAAGCAAGTTTCACTTTTCTGTTTTATTTGTCAAAAACTTTAAATCGTCTTAGTATTATACCATAGACCAAAACATTTAGAGAGAGAGAGCTCCACCGTATCAGATTGACCGCCCAATCAGAATGCACCATTCATGATTTTTTAGCGGACTTTTGGGATTGATCTGACACTAATTTACTACAATAACAACAATATGTTGTAATGGAAATTTAAAAAATTTAAAAAATATCATTAAAAATATGTCAGTACGATAGGTGATGACATCTAAATGGTTGAAATATTGCCTTTTATTGTTAAAAATCATATCTTTCATGAATGCCTTTTTTGGTTCCTTTTGGTAATAAAGCATTGATATGTTACTCGCGAGAATTGTCACTAATAAATTCCACCACAATTCTAAACAGTTCTATTCCAAATTCTCCCCTGCTGTCATCAAGTTGATCTACTTCTTCCGCTGTTGCATTAAAATAGCTCCTGCACAGCAGTAAGATTGGTGAAACAAAACTGTACAGATCTTTGCACAAAGAGTTGTATTGGAGAAAGGCGATGCTCTGTTCGTAGACCATGTTTGTTCCACTGATTTCAAAAAAGAGTAATATCCCTGTTTACCCTTGGAATGTATATATAGTGCAAAGCCCAAAGCTCATGTTCTTTATCAATATCAAGAAGGCGCTGATCTTCGAGAAAATGAAATAAATCCTAATAAACATTTGTGACTCCATTCCACAAATCCACCCATGACCGTTCGATTCTTCGGTTTTGGACACTTCATCCACATATTGCCGATCCCCTGTCAGGTCCTTGAAGAATATTCATTATGTTTCATATGTAATTGTTTTCCCCACCATGATCTACTCCTATTCTGAAAGGAATACCGTAAAGAGATGTAGCTGCAAGAAAGTATCTGGCCACAACTTCATATTGTTATCAGATGCAGAAAGGAAGACCAACATTCTGCTGTACCCATAAGTGCTTCCATGAATAACAATTCTCCATCTGCAGATTACAAAAAGTACAAACATTATAATAGGCCTTTTTCATGATGCGGTAGACATTATTCAATCAATGACAAACAATGCTATAACGTCCACTAATGGCAGAGTTCATGACATCAGGTTGTTTAAAAATCTGTAACTTCTTGTAAGCTGTGTGCTATTACTTATTCAGGTGTACCCCAAGTATAAAAAAGTAGTTATTTTTTAGACCAGCTTCTGCTTTAGCAAATTTGTTTTCAGTTTAGTATCTAACAGAACTAATTAATAATGCAGCCAAATCTGTACAAAATTAATGGGAACCAAAATACTTTCAATTTTCACAGATATGTTTTATTTATATTAATATAATTTTATTTTTAACTATACTAGACATATTTGATCAATTTGACATTTGGAGTCATTCTATTTCTACATAATCTTGACTTTGATAATTAAGATGGCGGCCACTTAAAGTTGTCGAAAAAATGGAACCAAAGTTTTTCTTGTGGAAAATTTTTAATATGAAAAACATACGTTCAAAAACTGAACACCAAGGACTACAAAAATTACATAGTCAAAATAACCAGAAAATCTACTAAACAGTACCAGCGATGATAAAAGCGACACTTATTCATTACAACGCTATTTAACAGCAATCTGTGTCACAACATTTGTTGGAATGAATGTAAAATTATATCTTGCCTTATGAACTTGTGATTTCCCTCAATATGCCATACAGAGTTGGGGCCTGCAACTCTGTAGGTGCGTCGATGGGTGTTCTGAACAGATCGTAGTGCAACTCTACCAGGGTCAATGCGATGCATTACCTCTCTCTAACACGAGAACGTACCTAAATTGTAATACACATATATTAAACTTAAAAGCCTCTATAATTATAATACAATCAACTGAATTATTCATCAACCAGCATCGGTAGGAAGTTTCATCAACAATCAGCAGAGGTTCCTGTTTACACACAAGATGTATTTCACAAGCCAGAACAGTATTCTGCAGTCAAAACTGAGTGCCTATTTGATTAAATACTTTCAAAATAATTTGTTTGTCAAACTTGGATATCATAAATTAAAGGAATATTTCAGTAGGCATTAAATAGTTGGTCAATGCATTAAAGTGGAGGTGCACCCAAAAAATTTCTATTCGTTCTTTTTTTTTATTTTAGTTAGTATTAAAAAGTATGTTTGTTTGAAGATTTTAAAGTTTTTTGTTAAGTAAATTCGTTATTTGAAAAATGAAAAAGTAAAATTGCTTGTTGAGTGGATAATTCAGATTACAAGAATAATTCCTAATTTTTAACACACATATTTTGTGCAGAGGAGGCATTAAAAAATGTAAAAAATATAATATAATTAGAAAACATTACATGGGGTATGATATTCTTGGCTACTTTAACCCAAACAATCCAATGTTTTTATGTAGTATAGCTTATGTGTTTTATGCAATTATTAATATTCCCCCTGTAAAAATGACATAAATCCAATTGCCTAACTACTTATTAACTTCTTGCTCTTTTCAAGTATCATGTCAACAAATAGCATGCATTTATACAAACAGCACAGAATAATGCCAAATATTAGGTCACATGCAAAGGCCTTTCTATTAATGTATCAGTGAAATAACTCATGTTATTGAATTGAAATTAAACAATCTGTAGGTTACGGTAGGTTTACTTTTTATTCAACAAAGTTCAAACACGAATTGTCCTATGGGAGTGCGAAAGGTACTGTACAAAGGTGTCTCAGTGTGGTATTGTTTCACAGCGGATATTAATGTTTTTGTTTTGGTAAGTGCAGATCACTGTAGCTTGTAAGGCTGCATTAGACAATTATGTTCACAATGGATCATTATCACTACTCTGTTACAGTATAATAACAATAATATATTAATAATTAAGTAAGTAGGCCCTAGGACTAGCCTAGACTAGTACTATCTAGTAGCCAGAGAGAGGCCCCAAAAAGTAGGCCTAGCCTAGTAGACCTCCACCTAAAAAAAAAAACAAAACAAAACAGACCTGAACACTTCTCCCGTCTCCCCGGGGCTTTTATTTCTTAGGCTTACTAGGCCTATAAAGGCCTACTACTAGGCAGGCTAGATAATTAATAATAGTACTTACAGTGAATGACTAGAATAAATCGAGAGGCCTTCGCTAGGCCTATAAAAAAGATGAATAAAAACCGCTAGAAATCAGATCATTAGACCCCTGCACACCCCGACTCGCTCCTTCGCCCTGGATGCTCTCGCTCCTAGGATCCTCCGATCCACCGACTGCTGTGAAAGACGGAATATGATTGGCTAAAAGTATGACCCTTGCGCCAGCTACTAAAAGCGGCGTTTTTTCTAATTTTGATAACGGCGCTTTTTATTGAACAAGTTAACGCCGTAATCAATTATAACCCTGGTGGCGTCATTCTAAGCCTGTGATTGGTTGTAAAATGAACAACATTACGGCGCTTTTTATATGATTACGGCGCTTTTTATATGATTACGGCGCTTTAATGTAACACGTTAACGGCGCTTTCATTATGATCCCGTTGGCGTCATTCTAAGCCTGTAATTGGTTGAAAAAGAAAGGCATGACGGATCTTTAATTATGATTACGGCGCTTTCATTATGATCACGGCACTTTATTGTAACAAGTTAACGGGGCTTTCATTATGACCCTGTTGGAGTCATCCTAAACCTGTGATTGGTTAAAAATGAATGGCATTACGGCGCTTTTTATGAAGATAACGGCGCTTTCATTGCGATTACGGCGCTTTCATTATGGCACTGATGGCTAACCATATACGTGTCGGGGTACGTATGCTGCGTCGTCGTAGACTCGTAGTCGTCTTAAAAAAACGAAAACAGCTCTTGGGTAGTACGCGAACAGTGTCTTGGCGTTGCCGTCACGGTCCATTAGTTCGAAGTAGACTGGCTGCGTAGCCAAAACGAAAAATTGCCTGTTACCCAGCAGTGCAACGTAGTCTTGAAGAAGTGTGTTCCTAAGGGGAAAACTCTAGTTCTTCAGTTAAAATGGTCCGGTGGGGTCGGTGGTCCCTTCTACTAATACTCCAGAGAATTAAAATTATAATACGATAATTGTGTTGATGATATTTAAAAAAAAAATACAGTAAAGGGACCCTTCTACGATTACTGGCTTCATTCAACTGTCTCTAGCTCTCTCCACTCTCATTGATCAGAGCCAATAAAAAATCTGTTCCCATTTTGAACCCAAATAGACTACCATCATTTTAAAGAGGGCATCAATCAATCAGCTATCATATTTGATAGCATTAGTAGGACATAAGATTTAAAATGTCTTGGTGCCACTGAAATCAATAAATGCAATCAGCAACAAATTTAAATGATTTCAAGAAGCCAATTAAAATAAAATACGACTTACATTGACATTCAACATGGCAACTGTATCACCATTATTGCTGACATCACCAATATCCCACCTAAGAAAATTGAACAATGATGAACCGGAAACTTGTCTTTTTGGACGGACTATGTGGCCAGATGATGACACCATTGTAGAGTTAAAATTTGTGATGTTGGTACTTGATGCACTACTAAAAGTAATGTTTCCAGTGGTAGGAATAGCCAAGCATTGGATGTAAATTACTGTTAGAGATACTAAATCACTGCTGAAAAAGTCTACAAAATAGAATTTTAGAAAAAACAAACCTACAGTTGTCTGATCTGAACTCGAAAGAGTTCAAATTAAACAAGATATATGAATTATATTTTAATTCGTCGTTATTATAAGGAAGCCTTGTAAATTAAAGCAACATGCGAGTGGGCAGCAAGATAGATCCAGAATATTTATTTTATTATTCGATCTACATATTCAGATATAAATTTAAATATAAGAAAAAAATCAGTGAAAATATAATTATAGAGTACTAGAAGGGATAAACTCTAATTGTCTTTTAAATCATTTCATTTATTCTTCCAGAAATTGTAAAATTAAAGAGAACATTCTAAGCAATGTGCAAAATAAAGAAGATCCACCTTAACTGTTATATCTCAGCACATATTTGAAAGATTTACCTTGACAAACTTCCAAATCTTTAATTTCTGAATTTGGTGCAATCTGTAGAGAAATTGTGACTTCAGCATAGGAACCAACAACAGCATTGTTATCTCCACTGTTCCAATTTGCATCGCTATTAACTTCAGGACCAAGGAAATAAACATTTTGTTTAGAATTCAATACATTTCGAGCATGAAGTCCCGAAGACACTGATGAAGAAATATCTAGGAGCTCATCAAAACTACCAGGCTTACTCAAACTCATTGGCACCGTCACGTATGTGATACTGCTACCATTTGCACTGCTATTGGTTATTATATCCCCAAAGTTTATTTTAAGATAGGATCCATCTGTTTGGCTAATCTCTTGATATGGTAGAACACCATCACTATGAGTGATTGTGACGCCGTTGCTAGAGTTGCCATACACAATTTCAAGTTTGTCATCAAAGTTGACCAGAACCATACACTTCAAAGTTAAGTTTGATGTAAAGGTAATGATGATATTGAGATCAAAGTGTTCTCCAAGCAAGAGTGCTTGGTAGCCATATTTAAACTTGCTAAAGAGATCAGAGTTTATTGCAGTGTCTATTGATCCTAGATCACCTTTACATGGAAGGTAACTAAGAAATATTGACAGAACCAAAGGAAGAAAAAGACATCTGGCCATAGTTGTGTAATTAATTCATGATGAAGACAAATAGTTCTGAAATACAAACAGAAAAAAGAGTATATCAACCAAGCTTTTCACATTTTTTATTTATATATTTTATTCTATTTAAAATAATAATAATACAATAGCATTGTAAATGACAAAATAATTTAACAATATCTATTACGAAAAAAAATGCCACCATTACCAAAATTTTACAAATGGTCGATTCTCTGTTGGTGTTATGATGCTTTTTGCTCAATGGCGCAGATCTGCAGTAAAAGATGGGGGAAATTTTGGGAACAGTACATATAGATAGATTGGAAATAACAGTATTATAAGTAAAATTCATCATCATAACACTGTCATAGTTAAAATGAGGGTCCAACAAACTTCTCGCGATCATTTATCAGAAACTATTAATTAAACTTATTTTATGACATCATTAATACAAATCTAAACTTTAATATATTTTACCAACATAAATTGCTTGATTGCTTAATAGTTTAGGAATGAATGTAGAAGACCCAAAACCAGCACTATCCTTTCACCTCCATACTTGATTTTTAATCTGTTGTGACATAAATTTAATTAAATGTCATTGTTTCTATAAGAGTAATAAAATTATGTTTGTTAACAATCGAATAGTTTTTCCTATATAAGCTATAACTTTGTGTTGTGAAATTAAAAACAAAATTAAAAATTAATTATAGTTTGCGAAACGAAATAGGTACTAGTAACGTACGAGAGGCAAAAATAGCAGAACTTGCTATCGATACCATATTATTTATTGCAGATAAACAAGGTATGTCAAGGGTTTTAACAAATTATGATTTTGTTTTAGTAATGTAACAGAGATGAAACTGAATAAAGAAAACTGAAATACAATGTGGCTTAGTAACTGGCAGTTACGAAAAGATGAACATTTTGGTTTAAGTTGAAAAAAAAATAAAACTCTGGGCATTTATGTTGGAGATAATGAAACGTTGTGTAAATTAAAAAGTTGGCTTAACAAAAGTAAATAATTTAGAAAGAACTACTGTTAAATAAAAAGGAATTTAACGTTCTTTAGAAAAGCAACAGTAAGTAAAGCATTAGCGTATCTAAACTAATTTATAATGCCAGTATTATAAACACACCAGAAACTGTAATCTACTGGATCAATAGCCTACTTTTTAATATATAACTAAACATGACATAGCCATAGCTAAAGACCTTTCTTTTAAATCAAGTTTTTCATTAATTTAACATGACATTCTTATTCTGCCTTTTATGTACAGTGTATTGAAAGCTTCCTTACTTATATATATATATATATATATATATATATATATATTATTATTATTATTATTATTATTATTATTATTATTAAACTTCAGGCAGGCACAAAATAAATTTTGTGTCTGATAAGTCACAGCCACGTTTTTCATAACGAATCATTTTTTAAATCCCTTCTATCGGATTTTATTTATAGCTTTGGGTTTATTTCTTTAGGTTTATAAAAATAAATTTAATTTAAGCCCTCTTTCTTTTATATCAGATTAAATTTTTTAGAACAAAGTGACACTGTGTCTTCTTTTTCGATCATTTAAGATTACTGACTGAGTGATGGCAAATAAAAGTGCACATAGTGCAGGAGTGAGTTTACGGTCTATTATAATACAACAATCATACCATACTTTTGTAAATTTTGCAAAAGCAATATTTGCAAAAATGATTTTGTTGTCTATCTTTAGAGCTATCAATTAAGGAACCAAGGATTTTATGAACTTTATTTTATGACAAACCAAATCATAATAATTATTATTATGATTTGGTTTGTCAAATTGCACAAACTCAGTCTTTGCTTGACTAAATATTATAATAAAAATTGTCAATTTATATAGTGCATAATGTAAAATACCTCTATGTGCTTTAAAGCGCATTTCACCTAACAAAAATAATAACTAACAATAATTAATAACAACAATAAAGATAAATACCGTACTCGCGCGAATAAGCGCCCCGTTTGAATAAGCGCCCCTCTCGAACAGCCGCCCTTCCTAACGTGAACATTTCCTTAAGCGCCCCGTTTGAATAAGCGCCCACTTCTAATAATTTCATAAAATTTTCTTTTTAGCAAGTCAATAATCCAATCAATCCTGGGACTGTGGTTGTTGGCATGATTTGAGCTGCAGAGTGGAAACACATTCTTCTTAGGTCAATATCAAAATGAGGATATTTCCCTTGGATTGATGGGAGCTTCGATCCCTGGACAGACAGTATATTTCCAACTTTACTCTTTTTACATATGTCTATGCCTAGTCCTACTCCTCTTTTTCTTTTTCCGACCTTTAGCACATTCTCATCTAAGTTTTCAATAAAATATACAATGGTCCTGCCATCCTGCTAATCTCAATCGGCCGATGGCCAACAAGTTAACCACTACCCACCACCACTAATTGCATCTGCTATTTTGCTATTATGATATTCACGCATTCTTGTCATGAGCCATGTTCTCTGGATTATTAGGATATCTTTTCCGCCTAAGCACCATTTGTAATGTCCTTAAATAATGTTTTTTTCATTCAAAATGTGCCTCTTAAATTTAATAATTTCCCATAAGAACCCCTCGATTTTATTTCCATAAGCGCCCACTCAATTTCCACTCTGTTTTCATAAGCGCCCAGTTCAAATAAGCGCCCCGTTTGAATAAACGCCCCTGAGAAAGTGCAACAAATATTTTAAGCGCCCGGGCGCTTATTCGCGCGAGTACGGTAAATATATAACGTTAATAAATAATTTGAAAATACAGAATTAAAAAAAAAAATAATTGTTAAATATTTATTTTCTTAGTTGTATTTCCTTACTTACCTTTTACTCTTTTTTCCATTTCTTTTTCACCTTTTCTTTTATTTTCTTTCATACTTACGACCTGTCTCTCTTTTCCATTACTTCCCTGTAATTTCTTTCGTTACCTTTCTTCCCATATCACCTTTTCCTCCTTACATTTTTCCTTTTTCTACCTCTTTTCATGTTTTCCCTTTCCTCTACCTTTTCTTACATTATATTTTCCTTTTCTTTCACTTCCACACTTCTTATTCTTTCCTTTCTCTTTCTTTGCCATTTCCTTTCTTTTTCTTTCTTAAACCTGCTCGTTTTCTTTCTTTACCTTTTCATTTTCTGAAAGGTTCCATTCACTTAAAACATCTTGTATAATATCTAACATATTTTATAACTGTTCCAAATCAAGACCAATAAAATTTACACTATCGGCATATAAAGACTCCATGGGAATTCCAGTATTCACGGCGGTTCCATTTAGCGTATAAGCGCGACACGAACTGTTTAGAACGCGCTTTTCAGAGATGCGCCTACGCTCAGCCTTTTCTAAGCTCACGAACGCGGAAGTGGTTTGCGAAGTACCGACGCGATTGTAAGATTTGGTATAATCTTAAAATGGTAATTAGTGCTCTTAAAGTGCCACCTATTGGTTTTGTGTAGCGCCCTCGCTATTTGAATGCACAGCCAAGCCAGATGAAGCTAGAGTGAACATGTTTTTGTTGAGCTGTCCAGAAAACTGATTAAATTTTCTGTAAAATGCTGTTTTAACGTAGTCAGTTAAAGCTGAAATGATGAATGTAAGTCTATGAAACTATATTTGTTTTCATTTGTTCATAGCATTTAGTATTATGTATTTAATGGCAAGATTGACATTGAACATGTGTTAAATTGTATAGGCTGCCATTTTGAATGCTATATGCTTAGGCCTAATGAACAGTATTTGATTGTTTGATTGTCATGCTATGTTAGACCTAAATACATTATGATTTAACTTATCCGTCATAGGTTATTCTATGCTGTTCTAGGTATATATCCAAACTTATTTTTATCTCCTACTGGAATTATTGTGTAACTTAGAATCATATTGATTGACCTGTTGAATTAAGAACTCTATTTTACTTTTTGTGCGTCACGCTTGAGTGATTCCGATTTGAGATTTGATAGCCAATTGATGCTGAGTAGCAGATTAACAGTGTATTGAGATAATCTTTTGTTCTGTACCAATTCCTTTGTTTGAGCCTTAGGGCTAACCAGATAGTTTTTAAGGAAATGATGGTAATCTGCTAAATGTGCCTTCAATATTGCAATTTTATTTCACCATGTATTTATGTTGCTTTTAGTAATTAATTATGTTATTTCTTTAGGCTATGATTCAGATATTGTTTCATATACTGTAACTTGTACCGGCTGACCTGAATGTACTTATACCCGGCAAAATAATAAGTTTAACGGTTAACATTGCGAGTAATATTTCAGAAATATATTTTGATTACAGATTGTTTTATGAAAGTCATGTACACATTTATAGCATATTCAATACGTTAATTAATCAAAAGGTTCTACTTGTTAAGCTATACCTGTATCTCATGTTGTTATGATTATGAATATTGATAAAGCTGGTGTTTAAAGGAGAAATGAAGGTTATAATGTGCAGTCAAAGGGTTATTTGGAATCTGAATGTTATTTTGTTATGCTGTTTACTTTTACACATATTTGATAATTCTTTTCGCATTCCAGAATCGAATGAGCGATATTTATTAAACTTCATATCGAACTCAACCGTGGTGTTTGTACATTGTGCTAACCTGTGTGTGTTATCCCAACCTTTCTATACAATTCGATTTATTCGTCACTGCTCACCTGTGAGAGGAAAGGATGGCCACAATCGACCAGCTAAAGATTACGAGACGGAACCGAAAGGGTAACTTGACCAGAGTATTCAAAGAGCTATTTCAATTGGTAGACCGAAATGCTAGCCCAAATGACATCGCCAAGATTAAAGCGAAAGCCCAGTTGCGGTTTGAACAGATAGAAGAATGTCATATTAGTCTAGTGGAGCTGATTGATAATGATGACGCGTATGAAAAGGAGCAAGAATGGATGAGTCGGTGCCAAGACGAGTTCATGGCTGAGATGGCGAAGCTTGAAACATACAAAGTCAAAGAAACAGAACAAAGCAAGATGTTCCCGAGGTTGAGGTAAACCAAAGTATCGAAAGTGACCTGGCTGATAAAGATAATATTTCAAGTGATGTATCAGATGTAGATAATTCTGTTAATAGTGCTTCAGCTAGTGTATCCAATATTGATAGTAATTTAGTGGGGTTGTTTAAGGCGCTAAACATTGCCGCAAACCCAAATGAAGCAATATTCAGGTGATCCATTATATTACCATGCGTTTATTACCTCTTTTAATAATACTGTGATGGGAATTGAGGATGATAAATTGAAACTAAATTCATTGCTATCTTTGTGTTCGGGGAAGGCGTTAGAGTCTATCCAGTATTGCGTTTTAAAACCACCTAATGAAGGCTTTAAATCTGCTTGCAAGACTCTGAAGGAGAGGTTTGGAAATACTGCAGTTATTGTACAGGCTTGGATAGGTAAAGTCCTGAACCGACCCAGAGTTGATTCTGCGAAGCTTGGTGAATTTGCCGATGACCTAGAAAACTGCTTTGAAGCGTTATCTGCATTGGGATACGTGAACGAGCTTAACAACCAAAGCAGCCTGAAACAGATTGTGGACAAACTGCCGAGAGTTCTACAAAACCGATGGCAAGGTGAGAATTTCAGATTAAAGGAGAAAGACGTGGTGCCTGCCCTGCAACATGTCGTAAAGTTTGTGAAGTCTTCGGCGAAAGAAGTCAACGACCCTGTATTTGGAAGTATTTCTAACCATCCTGTTGAAGCCCAACCTATGAGGCACAAGAGAAATCAACAAGTACACAGTCTTAACATTAATGTTCCTTCACCCAATGCTCCAAAGGAAAAGTTTCCTAAGTGCTGGATCTGCAAGTCCGATGCTCACTGGCCAGATCAATGTGAAAAGTTTATCAACATGAAGGTTGAGGACCGTTTTGAAATGACTAAAAATAATCATGCTTGTTTCTCATGTCTTAAGATAGCAGGAAGGAACCACCGCTCGAGTAACTGCTCTAGAAAGAAGATGTGCGGTGAGAAATTGGGAGACAAGACTTGTGATCGGTTTCACCACCGACTCCTTTACCTGACAAAAACTGTTGGAGTAAATAAGCTAAGCATACCAAGCTGTGATGAGCCACTTCTGTGTGTACTGGAGGTAGAAGTGAAAGGAAAATACAGAACCCTGATGGCGAATGTGATGTTAGATCTTGGTTCACAAGGGACGTTCGTGAGGTCTGAATTCGCTCAACAACTAGGTGTCAAAGGGAAGAGTGTTGCTGCTTCTATAACCAAGGTTGGTGGAGCAGAAGAAAGCTTCAAATCACGGGTATGTGAACTTAAACTGGTTGGATGTAATCCTAACAATACATATAACATCAAAGCCTTAGAAATGCCTATGATAAATCAAGTAAAGAAGGTCAACGCTCGTGAACTGGAACAACATTTATACATGTCTAAGAACACGTTGAGAAGAAGAGGAGGTCCTATCGACATATTAATAGGAGTGGATAATGCATATTTGATGACTGGTGATACAAGGAAAGTAAATGGTTTGGTTGCCTTGAAGTCTCATTTAGGATGGGCTGTGTCTGGCGGAAGTACTAACACAGAGATGTACAATCAAGTTATGAATGTAACAGTGAACAAGCCAGTCCACTTAGATGCTTTCTGGACTGTCGAATCTATGGGCGTCGACATCGGAAATTGTGACTGTAAGGCTGCGATTAATGTGATGGAGGATATGGAAGACTAATTAATTGAAGACTCGAGTACCATGAAAGGTGGGAAATCAATGGCTGATCCCGTACCCATGGGCCAAAGATCCATCTAATCTACCAGACAACAAGTGGCAAGCGCAGAAAATGCTAAGCGGCCTAGAAAAACGACTCCTCAAGAATGAACAACATGGAGCAGCGTACAAACAACAAATGAAGGAAATGGTTGACAATGGTTTTGCTACAAAGTTAACTAAAGAAGAAATAGATCAGTATAATGGGCCCGTTCATTATCTTCCCCACCATGCAGTTATCCGAGCTGAAAATAAAAGCACCTCTGTCAGGATCGTCTTCAACTCGGCTAATAAGTGTAATGGCGAATCTATTAATGACTACTGGTTAAAGGGGCCTGACCTCCTGAACAATCTTCATGGTGTACTGCTCAGGTTCAGAGAGCGAGAGGTAGCTGTTTGTGGAGATATCTCTAAGATGTATCACCGAATATTGATTCCTGAAGTGGATCAGCATGTCCACCGATATTTGTGGCGGGATTTAGAATGTGACAGAGAGCCAGATACATACATTATGAAAGTTTTAACTTTTAGTGATAAACCAGCAGCCGCAATGGCGCAGACCGCTCTTAGACTTACGGCTAAAACAGGTATGGAAGTCTCTCCTAAAGCATCTCAAGTATTATTGAACGATACCTACATGGATGACATCTGCACCTCAGTATCAACTACAAAAGAAGCAAGATCATTATCTGATGATTTAGATAAAGTGCTGTGCCTAGGAGGATTCCGCACTAAAGTGTGGCTGTCTAATAAGCAACTAAATGACAAAGAAGTTGACAAATCTCAAGTGCAAGATTGTGATTAGAAAGTTCTAGGGGTCACGTGGAACTATAAAGAAGACACGTTCAGAGTGACACGATAAGCCAGGTGAGAACATCCAAAATACAGCACTCACTAAAAGGAAAGCACTAGGTATTATCGCACAAGTGTTCGACCCAATTGGATTCCTAGCACCAGTTGTAGTAAAAATGAAGATAAAGATGCAGGAGCTATGGCAATCTGGTGTGAATTGGGACGAGGACCTGCCCGAGCAAACACAGAAGGAATGGAAAATACTACTGAAAGAGTTAGCGCTCACAAATGAAATCAAGCTACCCAGATGTTTAACCCCGACTAATTCAACTAACAACGCTCAACTAATCATTTTCTGCGATGCTTTAGAAAAGGCCTATGGAGCCTGCGCATATTTAAGGTGGAAGCTACAAGACGGAACATTTAAAACAAGGTTCATTACAGCCAAGTCGCGAGTGGCCCCACTCAAGAAACTGACTGTACCAAGGTTGGAGTTGCAGGCGGCAGTGATAGCAGCTAGGATGGGCAAATCCATAACTGAAGAATCTTCGTTATCATTCACCGATCAAGTATACTTTACTGATAGTATGATCGTGCTAGGATGGATAAACAAGCCATCATGCTGCTACAAACAATTTGTAAGTGCAAGAGTTCTAGAGATTCAGAACAAGACTAAGATTGAAAGTTGGAGGCATGTGCCTGGAACCGATAATCCAGCTGATGATGTATCAAGGGGAATTCCTGTTGAAAACCTGCAGCATAGATGGATAGAAGGACCCAAATTTCTAAAACTTCCTATGTGTGAATGGACACACGAAAAACCAAATCCAGTAGAAGACGAAAATGAAATAAACATAGTGAGGTTCACTGGATACGTTGAAGTAAATCAACCTAATGTGTGTATTGAAGAATGCCACACATGGGAGGAAATGCTGGAAATATACAGGCAGAAAATTTATGGATCGGACTCGCCAGCGCTAGATGTTCACAAAATTAGAGACATCGAGTTGCTACTGTTACGCAGAGTTCAAAAAGAATCATTTGCTGAAGAACTGCATCTTCTAAAAAACGGTAAGGATGTGCAACGAACCAGTCGGCTCTGCAACTTGGATCCCATGTTAGACGGGGACAATGGCCTCATTAGAGTTGGTGGAAGATTAAGATACTTAGAGCAAGCAGAATTAGACGCTCATCCTATCGTATTAGACCCGAAACACATCATCACTAATCAGGAGAATAGATGCAAATGTTTTTAACCATAGTGGCGGACCAAATCAAGTATTTGCATACTTACGAAGAAAGTATTGGATCCTTAAAAGAAGAAGCCAGATTAAATCGGTGCTGAACTTTTGTATTGACTGTCAGAAATGGAGGAAGGGCTCTGAAATACCAAAGATGGCAACCCTACCAGAAGCCAGACTGCAAATAAGAAAGCCACCATTTTATTCAACAGGCATGGACTGTTGGGGACCTATGATGGTCAGGGTTCGCAGATCGCAGGAAAAGAGATGGGGGATCATTTTTAAATGCATGACCACCCGTGCGGTTCATCTGGAAGTGATCAGAAGCATGAACGCTGATGCATTCATAATGGCATTCAGGAGATTCGTATCGAGAAGGGGCAATCCCAAAGAAGTATACTCCGATTGCGGGACCAACTTTAAGGGAGCGGAGCGAGAGCTGAATGATTGCTTTAAAGCCTTAAGTCCCGAGTTGCAAAATAAATTAGCGCAACAATATGTTGAATTCAAGTTCAATCCTCCCAATGCACCACACTTCGGGGGAAAGAGAAGTGAAATCTGTGAAAAATGCTATCAAATGTTGTTTAAAGGAGAGAGTGGTCACTGAAGTAGTACTTGACACGGTCATAGTAGAAGTTGAAGCCTTGATGAATTCAAAGCCGTTAGGGTATGTGTCTTCCGAAATTGTGGATGCTGATCCAGTGACTCCCAATATGCTGCTAATGGGTCGACGTGATCCAACATTGCCATTTGTTTTGTCAAATCTAAATGAAGAAATCAGGAGTAAAAAGCAGTGGCGCCATAGTCAAGTCATTATCGATATGTTCTGGAAGAAGTTTGTTTCAGAATACCTGCCGAGTCAACAAATCAGACAGAAATGGACTAGAGAAACACAAAATTTGAAAGAAGGTGATCAAGTGTTGATAGTTGACGACCAAACCCAGAGAGGAGAATGGCTAACAGGAAAGGTGGTTAAAGTGCATCCCAGCTCAGATGGCCGAGTAAGGATAGCGGATGTTCAAATTAGAGATAAAATTTACAAGCGCCCAGTGATAAAGTTGATAAGACTGGAAGAGTGGAAGTAATTTGTTGGTTACATTCATACTGTGGAGATATATAGTTAATGATTATATATCCTTTGATATACTGTATTATGATTTTATTATTTATTGTCTTTCAGATTTAAAGGTTATTTTTATAGTAATTACATTATTTTGATTAAGCTATTGTTAGCAAACTTGTGTTTACACTTTGTTTATGATGGTGTAATGAGATTCCCTCATTGCTGGGGGAGTGTAAGATTTGGTATAATCTTAAAATGGTAATTAGTGCTCTTAAAGCGCCACCTATTGGTTTTGTGTAGCGCCCTCGCTATTTGAAAGCACAGCCAAGCCAGATGAAGCTAGAGTGAACATGTTTTTGTTGAGCTGTCCAGAAAACTGATTAAATTTTCTGTAAAATGTTGTTTAACGTAGTCAGTTAAAGCTGAAATGATGAATGCTATGATTCATATATTGTTTCATATACTGTAACTTGTACCGGCTGACCTGAATGTACTTATACCCGGCAAAATAGTAAGTTTAACGGTTAACATTGCGAGTAATATTTCAGAAATATATTTTGATTACAGATTGTTTTATGAAAATCATGTACACATTTATAGCATATTCAATACGTTAATTAATCAAAAGGTTCTACTTGTTAAGCTATACCTGAATCTCATGTTGTTATGATTATGAATATTGATAAAGCTGGTGTTTAAAGGAGAAATGAAGGTTATAATGTGCAGTCAAAGGTTAATTTGGAATCTGAATGTTATTTTGTTATGCTGTTTACTTTTATACATATTTGATAATTCTTTTCTGCATTCCAGAATCGAATAAGAGATATTTATTAAACTTCATATCGAACTCAACCGTGGTGTTTGTACATTGTGCTAACCTGTGTGTGTTATCCCAACCTTTCTATACAATCATCGACGATTCACTTGATTCACCATCGACGATTCACTTGATTCATCATCGAATTGTTGCTTGAACGGCGTTCCATACTGGTGTCTAGGTTGGGTGGTCGAAATTCAGTTTGCCGAATGCCAGATCGCCGATACCACTTTGCCGAATACCAGTTTGACGACTCAAACACAATGAATTCCAGTTTACAGAAACCCAGTTTGCCGAAAACTGGGTTTTCGGCAAAAAGTTCAGTGTTTTATTTTTTATTTCAACCATCTAACCCTTCAATTTTAGCCCAGTAGGTTAACTGATATTAACAAGCCCTCTTAATAAAATTTAAAAACAGTACAAACATCATTACAAAATAATAACGTACAATCCTCATAAAAAGTAAGTATTAAATTGACTTACATATAAAGACATAATTCAAAATAGAAGTCTAATTTATAATGTCAGTGAAATATTAACAGCAACATAAAATTCACGATGGAATAGTCTCTTACTCTTTACCATAAACTTATTTAATGGGTTCATGCTCTTTACATTGACTCAGCGTAATATTATTTTCTATAGTTATGGCAGACATTATAGAGGGCGCTATTTCAGGTCAGTTAAGTAAACTGTGTAGTAGACTTAACGAGAGCGTCGTCAGAGACTGAAAAGTAAACTGATAAACATGAATATGCATGCAGCTCCCTCTCGCGAAAGAGGTGTTCAGTGGTGTATCGACTAGGCTACAATGCGTGTTCATGGGTGAAAACATGAGTGGGGCGAGTATTTCCCCGACGAGGGTCCGACGACCCCGATAGGGGATGGGGGTGATGCCCCGACCCCGGGGGTTGATTTTCCGACGAGAGCAAATGTGGGCGTGGTCGAGCGTCACTTAAAATGTTTCCAAACTGGTCCAGGGGGCGAAGAGTTTGACAATTTAGGGGTTTAGGCTTATTTAATAAATTTTAGAGTCTACTACTATGCACAAAATACATAATCTTTTTCGCCCCGACGAATTGTGGGTTTTCTCTTTACGATTACCTCTTCCATAGTTATTAATTACAATATTTACAATTAAAAATTTGAATGAGAGTATGTTTTGTTGTAGGCCTATGTTTTGCACAGAAATTTACCGGCATGGGGAGGGGGGCAACATGTTCGACTGGACGTCCGAATCAAGGGCCGACTAGAGCCTCGGTCAGGGTTCCGGCATAAATTTATCAGGCAGGGTTGACATTTTTTTAGGACTTAGTATGGCCAAAATTGTGGTTTTTAGGACACAATATTAGGGACTGGCAATTAAAATATCGTTGGATTAAATTTGATTGGATTGATTTGGTGTAAACACCAAGGATAGCCCACGACTTATTTCCAGTGGGGTCCTTCTGGTGGTGATTGGGCAGTACACCGGGAGACAATCCCCTACTCTTTTCCGAAGAGTGTACTGCGTTCTTTAACGTGCACATGGGCCATAAATGAACACGGGACCAACGGCTTAAACGTCTCATCCGAAAGACGGTGCGCTATTGTAACTCGTATTTCAGCCCTCTAGCTGAAACACAAGGAGAGGCAGCGATGGGAATTGAACCGGGGAAATAGGGATCTCTACGGTTCAGCGCACACACAGTGGACCACCAGGTTAGCCGACTGGGCTAAGCTGCTCTCTCGTTATGGATAGGCAAATTATTATATTTGGGCCACGGCCGACGACCTTTCGTTGCGTCAGGAGAGCGGGAGGGTCTAGGCCTAGCCAGCACAGGGTATGCCTCCCTTACCCCGCTCGCACCATCGCCGACACGTGCGTATAAGCTTTAATATTAATAAAAGGTTTGGAGCATAATATGAAATCTTAATTGTATGCTCTTGAAGGTTATTATATTTACTGTTATTATATTTATATGTAAGGAATGTCATATAAATTATTTAAATTCAATTGATTATAAATTTTATTAATATTTTGATATATTTTTATTATTATTATTATTGTTATTATTTATATGTGGAACAGAAATTATTAAATTTTAATAAAATAAAATGAATATTTTGATAGTTCCTGCTATCTTTATCAACGTTAAAGTTAGTAAACTTGAAACATCTAATATACGTCTACATAATAGCATAAAAAGTATTAGTATTAACCAATCAGAGCCGAGAAAAATATACAATCAGTAGATTGGATCACAAAATGAATGTTTGGCACGAGTTAATGAATTATTTACAAGTGAACAATGACAAGAGGTACATAGCTTGAGGTAGGTAGCTTAGGTTCGCTATTCGTAAGGTTCATTATTCATAAGGTTCGTTATTCATAACATTAGCTTACCATATACCAGAGGGTCGTTAATCATAATGAAGAAAAGGGTTCACTATTCATAAAAAAATAATAATAATAATAATTATTATTATTATAGAGTGGTTGGTTTCTTCACTTTGAGGTCGGGGTTTCAAACACTCGCTGTGCATTTCACTTGAGTCCTTGGGCAAGGCACTTCATCTGCTTTGCTTCTCTTCACCCAGGAGTAATGGTTACCTGGTAGGGTTAAATGCCAAAATACGCTGATGTATGTAGCTGCTGCAAAGTTATGGAATACTTCCCCAGGGAGCTTGAGTTGGTGTTTCACAGGTGTTTAATCCAATGACCGGGGGTAATATTATCTGGGAGAACAGTAATATGTTACTGAAGAGGAAACCCATTATAAAGAACAAATACATTTTTTTTTAAATAAATAAAAACAAAGTAAATTAAAATAAAATAATGTGAAGCGCTTAGAGTTGCGTTAAGAGCTACAGTATATAAGTCTAACATATTGTTTAATAATAATAATAATAATAATAATAATAATAATTATTATTATTATTATTATTATTATTATTATTGTTATTATTATTATTATGTGGAACAGAAATTATTAAATTTTAATAAAATAAAATGGATATTTTGATAGTTCCTGCCATCTTTATCAACGTTAAAGTTAGTAAACTTGAAAGATCTAATATACGTCTACATAATAGCATAAAAAGTATTAGTATTAACCAATCAGAGCCGAGAAAAAATATACAATCAGTAGATTGGATCACAGAATGAATGTTTGGCACGAGTTAATGAATTATTTACAAGTAAACAATGACAAGAGGTACATAGCTTGAGGTAGGTAGCTTAGGTTCGCTATTCGTAAGGTTCATTATTCATAAGGTTCGTTATTCATAACATTAGCTTACCATATACCAGAGGGTCGTTAATCATAATCAAGAAAAGGGGTCACTATTCATAATTTATTAAAAGAACCACAAGGCATAAGGTTCACTGTTCATAATCAAGAAAAATGGTTCGCTACTCATAATATAAATAAAGGACCGTTATCCATAAGGTTCGCTATTCATAATAAAAAAGAGGTTCGCTATTCATAATAATAAAAAAAAAGAGGTTTGCTACTCATAATAAAAAAGAGGTTTGCTATTCATAATACTCGAACCTGCGAGCTCTCGCAGTCAAGGCAATCGTCATAACTATTATACCTGTCTCTTATACACATCTAGATGTGTATAAGAGACAGGGCCTATGTTTTGCACAGCCCAGTAGCCTGTCACTTCAATCAACCTAACCATAGCATTAATGACATAAGATTTATTTTGATCGCTAATAAATTTTTATCCCTCTCACATAGACGCAAAGAAGAATTGAAGTGGATTCTTAGAACCAATTCTTATATCAACGGTTTAAATAAAGACTTAGATTACTTATCAGACTTATGTATACTTAAAGCCCCATTCCCGGCAAAATTTCAGTTGTTAAGAAAAATCTAATTTTTGTATAATATTATAAAGATTTATAAATATAATACGGAATTGCTAGTTTAACAGAATTTAGACATTCCTAAGAATGAAAAAAATGTGAAATAAGACTGAAATTTGATTTTTTTTGTGCTCCACACAAAAAATAAATGCGGATGAATTTTCATGTTTGATTTTGCGATAGGTCGTGAGAAGAAATATCGTAGGCGCCGAAAACATTAGCCTACCCAACGCTGCTAGGCTAGGCCTAGCCTTACCTCGATTTAGGTTCTGTTATCACACATAAAAACGAAAAATGTGAAATATAATATTTCATAGGAATTATTTCAAATTTGTTAAAAAAAAAAAAAAAACTGATTCTGACTGAGATTTTGGACACTTAAACAAACATATCTCAGCCTTAATCGAACGACCGCATTGTGCGAGATGCGAAGTACAAAAACTAATCTCATTAGAGAGGGCGCACTTTATTGACTGTATAAAGTATACATAAAAGCGAGAGTATTCCAGTGGATGCGATCACAACCTCTGAATTTGCCTAGTAACGATGAATTCGTCGAGAAAATGGTAATAATTTATGAGAAATAGTCTGTATTTCTCATTTTTTTTAAATTCTTTTGCGTAAACCTAAAATTCATGCCAATATTTTTCCATGATTTATAATAATTGGAGTAATGAAAATGCATATTTTCTAAAAAAAGAATCAGTTTTTAGAGAAATTTTGCCGGGAATGGGGCTTTAATTTTTGTCTTGGTTCCTAGGCCATTATCCAGCTTTTTTCTACTTTGTTTATTCCATATTAAGTAGAACTTTTAGGATGCGCGTCTTATTACGCGCCTCTGTTCTTTACCGTTGATTCGATGTTTTTTTTTCGTTTGTTGGCCATGCGAACCGAATTCGACTTTGGTGTGAATGTTGCTTTACTTTGTATTTTTGTCAGTTGTCCCCATAGAGATATAATAAGAATACTAGAGCGCTACCCGCAATGTATTCGATGTTCGAAATACGCAGAGCTGTGTGTGTGTACCATCCAAGATGGCTGCCATAGATTTAGCCAATCAAATTTCGCCTAAGCGCCATCGTTTGTAATTGCGCCCTCAATTTACACAGAAAGTTCAGTACAGCTAGTTACCGTATGTTTGAAACTCGAGCGTTGCGGTGTTTGGATGTAATGTATACGACTTTAATATTCATTCCTTGGTACTTTATTTTTGAATAAGATGCTCCACTTGGCCTCGTTTTGGCTACGATAGTTTAATAATTTATTATTACCATTACTCATTATCATTAATGAAACAATAGTCAGTCAGAGGACTTATTAATATGTAAAAATATGTATACTAAGCCTGAAGGTGGCGCTTTACTACGACGGCCATCTTGGATGGTACACATACATAACTCTGCATTGCTTCGCCATCTTGTCAGCATTCTAGCTGTTTAATAGCTCTAATGGTTGTCCCAAAGATACTAGAAATACAAGATAGAGTCACATTGTAAACATGAGGCGGAAGTCGTGCCCAACGTAGGTGGCGCTCTTCTTTTTAAAAATGCAAGTTTTCTATACTTCGTGCCCAACGTACAGGGCGCCCTTCTGTTGGTAAGTATTTGAAGAGCTTGATTGCAAAACCCCTTACATCCACTTTAGAAGAAAACGAGAAAACAGCAAAAAACTGTTATGGCACTAATACTTGCTAAATATATATCAAATTTTATTCTTAAGTGAGTGTTATCATGTACCTAATGAATGTATGTGACTCACAAAAATCAATCATGCTTTATTATTTTTTAATTGCTATTTAATTGAATTGACGGTGACGGATGTAAGGGGTTTTGCAACTAACATAGTAATTCAGTACAGGCATCTCAGAAATAATATGGTTTATACAATGAAAAGAAACATTTTAGGTATTAAAAGAGTTTATTAGTTCCAATAAATGTCATACAAGTCACTTAAGGTAATTAAGAAAATATTATATCCCCCCTCCCACACTTTATCAAAGGTGTGTAAACAAAAGCCTATACAAATTTTAAACACAAGAAGTAATTAAATTGATAATAATTTAAATAGCATCAGACATTCTACTCAATAAGGGATCATTTACATAATACAACTTACAAATTGTCTCTTACACCCCCCACCCCCCACAAATTAT